GAGCACTAACAAACAAATGGTATCTAACGCTTTGATAATGACACCATAGGTTAAATCAGTCAGTCAGTACTGAAGAAGCTCCTTGGATGAGAGGCAAAACATCTTCAAGTATTGTCAAAGGAGTCCAGTTGCCCTTGATTTAAACCTCCTTAATGAACTGTAATAAAACTAACAAAAACTACTTCCAGTCTGAAGCCTGATAATTATTGCAAGTGACAACATTATTGTTATTCTGCAAATGCAGCTCAAAAAGTAGCTAGGTGTTTGTCTCTAAATAAAAAGAAGAAGATATACATTATGAAAAGTTAATTTTGTTGGTTAAGCGAGTGTTAAGATGCTAAGACAGTAACTTTGAATGACAGATAGAAACAGTAGCTCACAGAAGCTACTGACTCTCATATGCTAATGTTATTTTTGTTGCTCCCATCAGGGGAACACCACGCAGAGCACTGGCAACATAAATTATTTCTGAAAGCCAGGCCGGAAGTATACTCAAGACTTTATCATTTGACTACTTTTATTAGTTTTTTTAAATACAATTTGAAATACAGTTTGATATATTTCAACAAAATCCCATCACACAAGTAACCCCGACAACTTGTACCATTAAAATGTCCAATATGACATAGCAAACACAAGTTTGATGTATGATAATTACTTTATAAACATATAAAGGATACAAATGAGGTAAGAAAATAAAATAATCACCCGAGCGACGGTCAACCCCCACCTTCTCCAGGAGATGGCGACATTCACCCACTAATGTAGGTCTTAGAAGTGCGCCACCCCACCCTCGTTCACACACACACTGTGACAGTGAAAATAAATTGAAGGGGATCACCACAACAATTTTACTTTTCCCATAGCATCTGGATTATTTACATGCCCAATTATGACAGGTGGTCACGTGTATCTGGAAGAACCTGCTGTGCACACATATCAAGATGAGTACATGCACAGCAAGCAGCACCGTAAGACCACTGTAACACAAAACGCATAGACACTAACAAATGTTTTTCATCATCAAACTGACTGGTTCAATCACCATTATCACGGAGTATTTACATCTCGATCCAAAAAAGACTTGTCTACAAACTGAACCAACTATGCATGTGTGCTTTTGCCTTTGTGCAGTGACCTCCACTGTAGGCCAGAGGCATAAAATAAATTATTCAGTTCTGATACTATCGGGTGATTAAAAGTGTCTCTTGCTGGATCTCTGTCAACACTAATAATCCTAAAACAAAGATTAATTAATAATAACCCAGATTTTGAATTGTGTCACAAGCCAAGTCAGACTAATTTAAAGTATGAGTGAATATGTTTTAGTTTTTATAAATCTTTTAGTAGCCAAGACAAATAGCACCTATGCTGGGAGCAGACTGTCAGGGAAGATGAAAACAGTGGTTCATCCACACACACTGTAGGCTACTCTGGTATGTCAGAAAATGAGATGAAAATTGGGTTTCCCAGTCATGCAATTCCATTTCCTCAAGAATAAAGTCTTGATTAGGAATCATGCACCAGGATAATCAGCAGGGATGTCACAGTCACTTCCCGACTGTCTGACACACTAAAGTCAGTGTGATGGCATACACACACACACACACACACACACACACACATTGGGCTTCCAAGTCGCACATTAAATTAATATCATCAAAGCTCATTTACTTGTCCATAACAGGATTACCAAACGTTATCCCACACTACATCCATTGATGCAGGAAGAGGTGCTATGCAACAGTACCCATGGGTCAGACTGGTCATCATGCAAATATGAAGATTGAATATGACATTGAATATAACTCCAACTACATTATGAAGAGATCACAGAATTAATTTGGTTTACTTATTTGTGACATAACAGCAACACATAGAGTTTTGAGCCTCTTCAGTGAAAACCTTCAGAAACCTTTAACAGGAATAAATTTGCTAGGGTAAGGAAAAACTGTCTCATTAGTAAGTGAAACCAACTAAAAAGCAGAAGTAAAATGCAAATGCTGGAAACTCATTTAAGAATTTGAAATGGCAGCTGATGTAAAGACAACATGGATACCAATAGACCCAATAGATATTCTTGTGAAGGCACATTAGGCTATCAGTGTCTTGCTCAAGGACACCTAGACATACAGTAAGAGGCATGAGAGGAGATTGATGGACTAGTGGAGGTACGAGGTGAATCAGGTAAAACCTTGACACCATCACAGTTTAATGTTAAATTGAGAGTGCCTTCGCTGTGGTATCACCATAAAATGAAGCTGGTTTGAGAGTGGATGGTGTTAGTGCTGCTGCCAGCAGCATCAGTTTATTTTCTGGGTACATGGTTGTAGGACCAAAGGGAGTCATTTTGTGGGTTTTAAATCAGCATTCAGAGGAAATGAGAAACCAGAGAAGAGAGGCTTTCAATTATTTTCAGCTTAGCTGGGATCCTCTCATCTGGCTGTGTGTAATGAAACACCTGATCAATAGTTGCAGGTGGTGTCGATTTTCCTCCAATGCTGGTGCTAGTGATGGCGATGGTTACCAGCATGTCATTCTGCATTATTCCACCTTATTTCACCTTTGTGCTCGTTATCCTTGAGGTTTTAACAAAACACTTGGTCCTGGTTTTAAATTGTCATCTTTACTCCCTATCTCCTCTAAATTTCTCAATCATTCCTTTTAAAAAACAACTAATGTGCATATATTTCTGTGTCAAATACTACCTTTAGTGTGTTATTGTGTCCACTATTGTGTCTGCTGTTATCTGCTGAACAAGTATACACACTCTAAAGGATTATTAGGAACACCTGTTCAATTTCTCATTAATGCAATTATCTAATCAACCAATCACATGGCAGTTGCTTCAATGCATTTAGGGGTGTGGTCCTGGTTAAGACAATCTCCTGAACTCCAAACTGAATGTCAGAATGGGAAAGAAAGGTGATTTAAGCAATTTTGAGCGTGGCATGGTTGTTGGTGCCAGACGGGCCGGTCTGAGTATTTCACAATCTGCTCAGTTACTGGGATTTTCACGCACAACCATTTCTAGGGTTTACAAAGAATGGTGTGAAAAAGGAAAAACATCCAGTATGCGGCAGTCCTGTGGGCGAAAATGCCTTTTTGATGCTAGAGGTCAGAGGAGAATGGGCCGACTGATTCAAGCTGATAGAAGAGCAACTTTGACTGAAATAACAACTCGTTACAACCGAGGTATGCAGCAAAGCATTTGTGAAGCCACAACACGCACAACCTTGAGGCGGATGGGCTACAACAGCAGAAGACCCCACCGGGTACCACTCATCTCCACTACAAATAGGAAAAAGAGGCTACAATTTGCAAGAGCGCACCAAAATTGGACAGTTGAAGACTGGAAAAATGTTGCCTGGTCTGATGAGTCTCGATTTCTGTTGAGACATTCAGATGGTAGAGTCAGAATTTGGCTTAAACAGAATGAGAACATGGATCCATCATGCCTTGTTACCACTGTGCAGGCTGGTGGTGGTGGTGTAATGGTGTGGGGGATGTTTTCTTGGCATACTTTAGGCCCCTTAGTGCCAATTGGGCATCGTTTAAATGCCACGGCCTACCTGAGCATTGTTTCTGACCATGTCCATCCCTTTATGGCCACCATGTACCCATCCTCTGATGGCTACTTCCAGCAGGATAATGCACCATGTCACAAAGCTCGAATCATTTCAAATTGGTTTCTTGAACATGACAATGAGTTCACTGTACTAAAATGGCCCCCACAGTCACCAGATCTCAACCCAATAGAGCATCTTTGGGATGTGGTGGAACGGGAGCTTCGTGTCCTGGATGTGCATCCCACAAATCTCCATCAACTGCAAGATGCTATCCTATCAATATGGGCCAACATTTCTAAAGAATGCTTTCAGCACCTTGTTGAATCAATGCCACGTAGAATTAAGGCAGTTCTGAAGGCGAAAGGGGGTCAAACACAGTATTAGTATGGTGTTCCTAATAATCCTTTAGGTGAGTATATATATATATATATATATATATATATATATATATATACACACACACACACACACACACACACACACACACACACACACACTCACACACAGTATCTCACAAAAGTCAGTACACTCACATTTACATTTACTCATTTGGCAGACGCTTTTATCCAAAGCGACTTACATTTGAGGAACAACATACAAGCATCAACAGAGCATCAAATACAGCACAAGATCTACAACTGACAATACATATTAATAAAAGCAGCAATAAATGCTAGTAAGGCTAATGGCACATATCGCATCAATGGGGTAAATACCTAGGGAAAGAAGTTAGAGTTAACAAAAAGGGCAATCAATACAAGGTAATTGTAGGGGATACAAGAAGAAGAGCACAGGAAGTGCATGTTAGATGTTAGGAGTTAGTTGTTATAAGAGGAAGTGTTCTCAGAAGAGATGAGTTTTCAAGAGCTTCTTGAAATTAGAGAGGGACGCCCCTGCTCTGATGGTAGCTCGTTCCACCACAGTCCCACCTGTTTGTCACAGATGCAAACAGGCGGGACTGGGATTGCTTTGTGTGAAGGGATGGCAGAGCCAGGCGGCGTTCGTTGGAGGAGCATAGTGGCCGAGAAGGAACATAAACTTGTATTATGGAGATTTATCAGGAGTTTTATCAGAAAAATAAAGGTTCTAACTGGAACCAAAAATGGTTCTTCGGAGTAATGCCATAGAAGAACCATTTTTAGTTCCAAGAAGAACCTTTTAGCAAATGGTTCTTTAAAGAACCATTTCTGCAAATGCTTTTTGAGGAACCTTTAGGGGTTCATTAAAGAACCATCAAAAAATGGTGCCTTAAAGAACTTTAGCAAAAATGGGTTCTTTAAAGAACCTTTTTCAATAAAGTTCCATGGGTCCCAATTGGTTTATTAAAGAACCCATTTTAAATGGTTCTTTAGTAATTTTTAAGACTAAATTGTTCTTTAAGCATTTTAATACTAGTTATTAAGGGCAGGTTGAAAAACAAGTACATGAACATAAATGTTAGCTGTTTATTGACATTCCTTTTCAGAGAAGCACAGGAGAAGTCCAAACAAACAGAAACAGAAATCAGTCACTGTGATGGAGAACATAACTCCCTAAAATGTCACTATTACAAATTACTGTTTGTCAGCTATTGGCATACACTGTTACACATTCTGTGCAAAACAAGTTTTCGGGGGTTCTGTAGGGTTCAGGGACTTTAAACTAAGACATTTTACATGTAACAGTGTACTTTAATACCCATTTCACAGGACCACAATACAGCCAAAGCATGAACATGAATATATATATACATATATATATATCTTGTGATGTCAAAAAGAATAATGATGCTGTACTAAGTACCTGTTCACAGTAACTTTCAGGGAATACAAACACCTAACTCCAGTGCCATAGTAAGGGACATCCATTTGCCAGTCTGCAAAGCACTGATACTCTGGTAGTTGGGAGTATCAAGCTTCAAGATAAATCCTCCAAAAATGACAATTGTAAAACTGATAAATTGCCAGTACCACACTCACAGCCAAGGAAATGTCAAAATCTCCATTGTTATTTTGTGCCCATCCATCGGGAACTTCTGTTCAGGATGATTGGTCCTGAAACAACACATTCAAGATCAAGAACTTTACTCTGTTACATTTAAACATTTACAATTATTTACTTTCTAAATTAATTAAGATACCCCTATGGCTACGATTAACAATTTTATGTGAAATCTGTTTATTAGCTCAATTAATTGATTATTAATTTGGTGTAATGACTAAATAAAATAAAAATGTCTGAATGCTATTAGCCTTCACAGTAATGTTAAGTGACGTTACCAACGGTTGGTGGAGTAACGGTAGATAACGTTCGTCCCTTTGCATCTCTATCCTCTAGTAACGTTAGTCAGATACGTTATAGCATGCTTACGTTTGCAGTGCTAGCCAATTCAGTCTTCGGTGACTCAGCTAGCTTACTAAACTCCAATAGATGGCAATTTACTAACGTTAGGTAACAAACTGCCTGTGCAAACACGACATAAGAGATATTAAAGAGGTGGTATTATGCTTTTTGGCTTTTCCCCTCTCCTTTTATTGAGTTATATAACTTTTTTGTGCATGTAACAGGTTTGCAAAGTGAAAAAGCCCAAAGTCCAGCCCAAAGGGAGTTCCCATCTCCCACAGAAAGCTCTGCTCTGAACCGCTTGAAAACAACTCGTTTGTAGTCCAGCCCTTCACTTCCTTTACTTGTGACTTCACAATGAAAACGCGTCATAAAGCCAAGCGGCTAGCGGGGTCAGGCATGCCCTCAAACCAAGCTAGTCTGAGCAGAGGCCCTTTGGCTCAACTTGCCTTTGTTTGGTTTTCCATTGTAGAAATGTTGTACCTGCTTCCAGGTACTTTTTTTTGTATCACCTCACCTCCGTTGAAGTTCCAAGCGAGCTGAGGGATACTAAAATGTAATGTGAAAACACGACAGACTGCTGACTGGTCAGAGAGAATATACACTATTCACTGCATCATCATTGCATGTGCTTTTTTAGTTTTATATTTTACACTTTTCGTATGGAATTTCATCACTAAATCCACTTCTGAGAAGTTTTGAGGTGAGAAATCAGCTGTGTAGATTTCCAATATTGACAGTTTTATGAGAAGTGATGGCAGAACAAAAATGTGCTTGAATATTTTCGGAGTTGAGGAGCTCCGCAAGTGGCGGCGGGGGATGCCTGTGCCAACCCGCGGGAGGAGCGCGTGAGGCCGGCCAGCTGCCCGCTCACAGAGCCCCCTGCTCCCGCCGTCACACAGACCGCTGCAGCAACAACGGCAGAGGAAAACACAGCTGGAAGGTTTTCATACCGCTTATCTGTCTTTACATTCTGAGGAATGTTGAAACGTTTTAACTTAAAAAAGAGAAAGCTGTGTGGATCGCTGGTGTGTGTGTCGCATTGAACATTATGTCGCGGCAGTTGTGTGTGGCGTCGCTCGTCGATCTCTGGGTACTACCTGCAATAGAAAACAGAGCAGGGCCGAGTAGAGTCGAGTCTATCGATTTGCGCTACGGTAGCATTTTTCGACAAGGCAGCATAGATCGTCAGAACACCGGCAACAGTTCAACGTTTAGTCCTGATGGTAAGATGTGGAACAATGATGTTGTGGACTTGAGTAACTTATACCATCTGCTAGGTTACGGTCTCAGTCTGAAGCGGCTTTGATTTGGATCACACTACCTTGTTTCTTACGACCCGCCTTTCTCTGCTTCTGATTGGCTAATAGTCCTTACCTGGAAACTGCGCATGTGCAACTCCCAACAAAGATTTTGTACAAGTAAGATGCATCACTCTGTAGCTCAAGAGCGGAGCGTACAACACAGGGTGAAAAGAGGAGCTGCAGCAATGTGCAGTATGAGAAAAATATGGTGTTTCTTTAAATTTAAACCTTTCTGGTACAACCACAAAAAATGAGCATAATACCACCTCTTTAACAACAGAGATACGGACTGTCATACTAACTTTCCGATAGTGATCCCATCACATTAACTTAGCTAACGTTAGCTGTCGGTTAGCTGTTAACGTTACAGACATAGTTACAGAGCTTATTTCAGTCTATGGAACACACAAATGTTTAGGAACATTGCCAAACAAGTACATTTAAGGTCTAACGTTAACAAGTTGACACTTAAAGTGAAATGCTTACCTCTTCTCGCCACAGGAACCAGATAGTTCATACTACAGCTCTATAACGTTAAGCGGGAGTAAAGACCGCTGGTGCGAGTTGAGCCAAGCTATAACGACTGCAAGCTATTTTTATCACTGCGCCTGTGGGTTGACGATGAGGTGCGCTCGCTACTGTCTCCTATGTGCGGACCTTACGGGCAGTGCACGCACTCCTTAATGTGTGTTATTTTTGTTTCCGCCCCCCTTACTCATGAGTGAGCAGTTATCTCTTTGCAACCGTCTGCAACGTATGTCAGACTAGATGAACGATTGGATGTTACTTCTTGAATAAAAAGACACCTAACCTTAAATAAACTAACATTGTTATTAAACGGTTTTAAACTATTTTACACACCTAGGGCGCATGCTCAAGCGGCGACCGGCAGCAGGTTTTCTAGGGGGGGCGGGCGGGTAAGGAGGGTGGGGGTTAGGGGGTGGTGGTGTAGAGGCACACTGCCATGTTCCTTTTAGAAGTTTTAGGCTTTGGATATTTTATAATGTTCTATGCTTATTGTTTGTTTTGATGTTTTTATGTATGGATTGCCGAAAGTCTCCTGTCTGCACAAAAATTTTACCCTTGGGTACTAATAAAGACACCTTGACCTTGACCTTGACATATAATCTGAAGTTATAAGAAATATCTCCCACCATACCAGTGTGTGTGTCTAAATTATTAAAGGAGTAAAATAACATAATTTAAAAAATTAACAGTTGTTTCAATTATCAAGTGTATCTTGACAATAAAGCAAGCATATATTAAATATTAAGCATAAAGCTAGTCATCAGTTTATGCTTAATATTTATTGATTTTGTTTGTGTGTTGTCTAGGCTACAGGCCTATGTGTTTTTTTTTTTTGTTTCCACAATCAGTCAGCCAAACAACCCAAACAATTGAGACATGTGGTTTTATTTTTCACATAGTGATGCAATGATTAGTTCATTAGTCAATTGACAGAAAATAAATCAACAACTATTTTGATAATAGAACTTGAAAGTCGTTTGAGTAATATTTAAGCAAAAAAAGTCAAATGTAAGAATTTGCTGCATTTAATTATAATAGTCTACATTAAAATTTCTGGACTGTTGGACAGACAGAACAACGTGTTTTAAGATGTCAACTTGGGATTTGGGAAATTGTGATGGGCACTTTTCAGTGTTTTGTGAAGTTTAAAGACCAAATGATTAATTGAAAAAATAATTAGCAGATTAATCTATAATGAATGTAATTATTAGTTGGCCCACAACCTGGCCCCGGATAGGCGGTTGAAGATGGATGGATGGATGGATGGATGGATGGATTAGTTGCAGCCTAAATCTCATTCTATTAGGCTATCTGCCACCAAATAACTCCAAAAGCAAGGAAGGACCTTTATTACTTTGAAGAACCACATAAAGTACACAAAGAACCATCCCCGAACCATCTTCAGTTGGTGGTGATTCTTTGTAGAACCAGACAGTCATTTGAAGAACCAGTTAAGAACCATTATTTTTTATATTTCTGAGTGTACACCCCTCACATTTTTGTGAATATTTGATTATATGTTTTCATGTGACAACACTGAAGAAATGACACTTTACTACAATGTAGTGAGTGTACAGCTTGTATAACAGTGTAAATTTGCTGTCCCCTGAAAATAACACATCACACAGCCATTAATGTCTAAACCATTGGCTACAAAAGTGAGTACACCCCTAAGTAAAAATGTCCAAATTGCGACCAATTAGCCATTTTCCCTCCCCGGTGTCATGTGACTCATTAGTGTTACAAGGTCTCAGGTGTGAATGGGGAGCAGGTGTGTTAAATTTGATATTATCGCTCTCACACTCCCTCATACTGGTCACTGGAAGTTGAACATGGCACCTAATGGCAAAGAACTCTCTGGGGATCTGAAAAAAAGAATGGTTGCTCTACATAAAAATGGCAGAGGCTATAAGAAGATTGCCAAGACCCTGAAACTGAGATGCAGCACAGTGGCCAAGACTATACAGCTCAAGAAGTGCTCAGTGTCACATCCAGAGGTTGTCTTTGGAAAGTAGGCATATGAGTGCTGCCAGCATTGCTGCAGAGGTTGAAGGGGTGGGGGGGTCAGCCTGTCAATGCTCAGACCATACGCTACACACTGCATTAAATTTGTCTGCATGTCTGTCGTCCCAGAAGGAAGCCTCTTCTAAAGATGATGCACAAGAAAGCCCGCAAACAGTTTGCTGAAGACAAGCAGACTAAGGACATGGATTACTGGAACCATGTCCTGTCGTCTGATGAGGTCAACATAAACTTATTTGGTTCAGATGGTGTTAAGTGTGTGTGAGGTGGCAACCAAGTGAGGAGTAGAAAGACAAGTGTGTCTTGACTACAGTCAAGCATGGTGGTGGGAGTGTCATGGTCTGGGGCTGCATGAGTGCTGCCGGCACTGGGGAGCTACAGTTCACTGAGGGAACCATGAATACCAACATGTACTGTTACTGAAGCAGAGCATGATCCCCTCCCTTCGGAGACTGGGCCACAGGGCAGTATTCCAACATGATAATGACCCCAAACACACCTCCAAGACAACCACTGCCTTGCTAAAGAAGCTGAGGGTAAAGGTGATGGACTGTCCAAGCATGTCTCCAGACCTAAACCTTATTGAGCATCTGTGGGGCATCCTCAAACGGAAGGTGGAGGAGTGCAAGCTTTCTAACATCCACCAGCTCCGTGATGTTGTCATGGAGGATTGGAAGAGGACTACAGTGGAAACCTGTGAAGCTCTGGTGATTTCCATGCCCAAGAGGCAGTGGTGGAAAATAATGGTGGCCACACAAAATATTGACACTTTGGGCCCAATTTGGACATTTCACAGGAGTGTACTTACTTTCTTTGCCAACAAAATAAAAATATGAACCTGAAAATGAGCATATGACCACTTTTACTTGCACAAAACTCTTGCTCAGCAAAGATAGGAAATAGGCTACAATCAAATTGTTTATTTCAACCAGTATGATTATTATTATTAGTAGTATAAAAATTTGGCTTTTTTCTTCTCTCTTGTAACCATAACGGTACATCTGTATTCTTTCTGTAAAATGAACTGAACAATTGTGGCGAATCTAACCAATCTAACGTTGTGTAGCATGTCCATATTGAGAAAAGTTTTAACATTTATATTTGTATGCACAATCTAAGCAGCTTTGAACTAGCTCAAGAGGGAAACCTGGTGGTCTTCAATAGGTTTAATACCTCCAGAGAACACCCAAGGCATTTAATTGAGACCTGCGTTTTAGAAATTGGCCATTCTGCTTGTGTAGCTTTTATTTTTGGTTATTTAAGTATATTGTAATGCTAATACTTTCTGAAAGTAAATTTTGAATGCATGACTCTTACTTGTAATTCTGCAGTGGTATTGCTATTTTTACTTGAGTAAAATATCTGAGTTCTTCTTTCACCACTGCTACACTCTGTACTCCACTTGCTGTATCAGCTATCAAATGCACCTTATGCAATGAGACGGGCTATTCAGACTGCCACTCTAACATTAGATATACCAACTGCTGCTGCTCCTTTGCTAGCTAGCACTGCTATAACTTTGTTGCAAATCCACTTATTCCATCTGCTGCAGGTTCAGTCATCATTTAATTTCTAGCATGCCCACCAACCATCTGATCACGTGGCTTCACAAAGGTTTGAAAAGGAATGATTGCGATTGTGCTGCTGCCAGCTGCTCTTTTGCTTGTATAAAAAGCTGTTTGGCCTCACTTCAAGCCAGAATCTTTCTTGTTTGTGCTGTGACAGCTCTTACCACAGAATTTACCTTCTGCTCAGATACCTGGGGCTCCACACCAACAAGGTAAGTTCTTTCTGTTTGTGCTAGTATGCATGGCAAGAATGAACATAGCTTGGCAATATGAGGCTGAGGTGATCTATTTACGATGTCTTGGTGTTTGCCCATGTTTACGATGTCTTGATGTCTGCCCATGTGCAGTACTACTTGGAGGTAGTTTTTGACACATTTATGATGCCTCATTGCGGTGCTTGCCTGCTGTTAATTGGTAAGGTATAAATATTCAGTTATGGGCTGAATTGATTTCCCTGCAGGTTTTTACCTTTGCTTATCCCACTGCACTCAGGTTGCTAGTAAAAGGTTTATTTTAAATATTGGCTTTAGGGATGTAAACTATTGTCTGGACTAGCGAACAGCTCAATTACATAATTATTTCCATGTGATATTGACTTTAGGGTAACTCAACATGGCTTCTGACTGTTGTACATAGGACATTATTTCCTCAACACACTTTATAGCTAAGAGAAATATTTCAACTCAGTGTCTTGGATCAATGTTTTGGCTTGCTTTACTATTGTGACAAAGTGGGTTTGCTTATCACTTATCCCATACAGGTTATTATCTATAGCACACCTTCTAGTTTATACAAGTGTTTATTTTTTGTAATTTACCATAACTTGTGTAAAAATGCATCACTTACTTTCCCAGGTTGTTTGTTATGTTACAGTCTATAGCAAAGCATTTTTTTTTGGTTATTATAAATAAATGTGTAAATATCCCTGACCTGTTTTCTAGTCAGTTGGAGCGGAGTGAACTGGTAACTGAGTTCCAAATGTTAAGAGATTTCTTGGTGTTAATGTTATGGAGTAGATCAACCTGCGTCAGAATGGGATGAGCTGAAGCAGTTTGGGTGTGAATTGCACACTCTATAAAAATGGTGGGATTTGTGCTCCCAAGGGCGAAAAAAAGGTGAGGCTGTGCTGCTGTGAACACTTGCCTTTTGTTGACGTTGCTATGAGTTTAATGAGTTATTTTCTTAGGTCTGTTTGTTTGTTGAGTTATCAGTGTACTGCAGACCACTCTAAATAAAACAATCACCTCTGGGAACATATGATGTTGGAGTCTGCCTACCTACCGCCTTCCTAGGCACTCTGGTCAGGCAACACCACAACTATTAATATCATAAATACATATACTGTAAACTGCTTAGCTCCTGTTTTACAGTTTATACTGCTACTACAGTATACCAACTTATATCCAAGTACTGAAAGTTCTCTGCTTATTCCACTACATAACAAAAGAAAAGATTGTCTGCTTCAAGTTCTTGCCAAAGGATGAAGAAACTATATTTTGTTAGTCAGTTCTTCTGTGT